GATGCAGGAGGCACTAGTCACTGAGCCAGGGGAGCCCCCCAGCATGCTCCCCAACAGACCCAGAAGTGCTTCTGGTCCACTTCCAGGTCTGCTACCAAGTGCGCTGGGGAGCCCCCCATGCTCCTGTGGGATGCTCCATCCCACCCCAGCATTACAGTATTCACAAGCTGCCTGGTACCTTGAGGTATATAGAAAAAAAACATTTAAAGCTGTGTCTATGTCCAAATTGCCAAATCAATTTGGAGAGTTCCAATTTGATTCGGAGAGGTTAAAGGGTTTCCTGATTTGATTTAGATTCGGCCACCGAATCAGGCCAAATCGAAATTGGGGACCAAAGCCTCACACGGCCCTATTAGGAACAAATTTTGAGTAAAATTTGCCTCCTTGTAAATTCCAGATGATTAATAGTTGTTTTATGGTAGGAACATGTTTAATGTAGGATGTTTGATTAGGAAAAAGTAATATGCAGAAATTTTAAATTTAAAAAAGGAAACTTTCCTTAACCTACCTACCTTCCTTCTCTTTTCTTTTTCCTTTCTTCCCCTCCCCCCTCCCATGGGCATCTCCTTTGCTATCTCTCTCTCGCTTAATAAATCTCCCTCAGTGCTCTTTCTTTCCTTTTAAGCAAAACGTTTTTAAAGTGAAGGAGCATTCCTTTTCTACTTGGATTTTTCTTTTAAGGGCAGATGGGATCATTATGATGATCTCTGAGATCTTGCTAAAAGGTCTTAAAATTTCAATCAGTTACAGCACCAAGCTCAATAAGGGATACCTTTTTCAAAAAGCATTTTTACTCTTACCACCTGGTTCCTTCTTCCTCTCTCACCCACTTCCTTTTGGAGGTTCCTCTTTCTTTTTCAACCAAATTATTTTTAAATTAGTTGCTGCTGCTTGTTTATTATTTAAAATTTGTTTCCAACTTGCTGACTTAATCTTGTATACAATCAATTATTTGCATTTATATTTTCCCCCCAAGGTATTGGGGATTTAATTGGTGGCCATTAAGATTTTGGTTTGTAACATTATTGCATTAAATTAGGTGCTAATTTGTGCTTTCTAGGAGAATATACTACCTCCATATATTATTTATTTAAGTAGTTATATAGATTAACTTTTTTATTTATTTATTTTTTTTTAATACTGAAGATATTGGGGTGGGGAAGTAAATGACTAGCTGTTTACTCTATATAAAATATTTAAGTTGTCAAGCTCTATTTGAATAGGAACTAGAACTCTCTATGAATAAATAACATTCAAAATGCTTTTTCTAATCAGTTTCTTAGAACTACTGTATTTACTCAGTAAATCCAAGGTGACCCTCAATTTAAGACAACCCCCCCTCCCAAGAATTGGATTCTATACATGGGAAATTTATAAAAGTTTGTTATAATTTTCCATCTAATTATTAGGGGGTTGTCTCTCAATTCATTTCCCCCACACGGCTGGGGGCGGGGGGGAGAGACACGGACGGAACGGGACGGACGACACAGGTAGTAAAGGGGACAGGTGGTATAAAGAGTTCAAGCAGATTTTCCCCCTGCCTGCCTCCCCATTGCAGCCTTGGGAAGAGGGGCTTCCCTCCTCACCCTTGCTCTGTGCTAGCCAGCTCTGTTCCTGTTCTTGCTTGGGACAGTGATTTTTATGGCTCCAGCCCAGCCCATGTGCACAGCTGCTTTGGGGCCAGATTGGAGTTGGGCTCAGTCCCCTGGCATGGAGCAAGGGGAATGGTGGGGAGAAAGAGGGGGGGTAGGTAGGGGAGCAGCTTGGGGGGTGGGGAAAGAGACTGCATGGGGGAGATGGTAGAGTGCAGAAGGGGTCAGCAGAAGCTGCAGCTGTGGCCCCCACCATGGGCAAGAGTTGGAACCTGAGCCACAGCAGTCACTTACCACCTCCTCCCCCCCCCCGCACTCTTTTTTGCAAGGTGAAGGGCTTCCCCTCCCATGTTAAGTGTGTGTGTTTTTGGGTGGGGGGATGACTTTTTTTTTTTTAAGATGAAATCAAATAAATACAGTACGTTAAGAGATTTTTCTCAAAGATTTAAATGTTTAGGCTTAAATAAGCGTATACCTTAATTATTTGAACAGATTTGTTTTTCAAACTGTTTCTTTCAAAGCTTTACTAGTAGTAGCTTTACATAACAGAACTGAAATCAATTTGCTTAAGTCATATTTGGGTTTTCTTTCATTAAGGGTGAGTAGCTGTAAATTCTTGAAGATACTTATAAAAATGTAACTTTGTTTAGTTTTCAGAGTGCAATTTCACTGCAGATCTCTTGCATTATGAAAGTTGCCAAAAAAGTTTCAAAATCTCAAATAGAGCATGCCATATTTTCAGGACCCCTCCCCCCCCAACCCATTTCTTCAGTGCTGTATTTTGGAGGCTTTTGTGCTGTTTAAATATTCACAAATGACTAGGAAAGTGTGCGCGCTTTGGGGGAGGGTGAAAGATGGGGGAGGAACAGTGACATGTTCAAGTTTCTGAAAACTACCAGATTGTTCAGGGTAGTAAAAAAACAAAACAAAAGTGAGCATGAAGAAGGATCTCATAAAACTGAGTGAATAAGCAACAAAATGGTTATAAGGGCAGAGATTATCTCACATGTATCAGATGCAGATGCATAATGATATGCCCTACAATTACTACTCTTAAAGACATTGTGGACTATTATTATGGAATAGTTCTCTGAAAACATAGGCCCAAATGATCAGCAGCTATCAAATAGAATGTTGGGAATTATTAAGAAGGGAATAGAAAACGTCATCATGCCCCTATATAAATTCATATGCCAATAGTGTAGGCTGTTTTAGTCCCATCCCATAATCTCTAAAAGGACATAGCAGAGGTAGAAAAGATGCAAAGAAGGACAACAAGGATAATCATAGAGTCTAATTTGTATGAAGTAAGATTAAGCTGAAAATCTTAGCCTTTTTGTAGAAAAGGCAACTAGAGGTGGAGGTAGGGAGAAAGAATGCAATAAGTCTATAAAATCATGAATGGCAGGGAGAAAATAAATATGGATTTACTATTTAACTGCATCTCACAATACTGGAACCAGGGCACATGCAATGAAGTTATACAATAGCAGGTGTAAAACAAAGTGTTTCACGCAGTCATTAACTTTGTAGAATTTATTAGCCTCTACAACTTGTGGCAATAATTTATATATGCAGCTTGAATGATAAATAACCCTCTCTCTTCCTCCCACACTGTCCTGGGGGCAGGGAAGTGAGGTGTTATCTTGGAGCAGAAACAGATGGTATCTGACAATTTTTATGATGGCACAAATGCTGAGCAAATGGATACTCCTACCTCTGGTCATGCCACATCAGAGGCAGATCAGTGGCATGACAAAAGGTAGTAATAATTTGTGCTCTCTTATTGCAGTGGACATCTGTTTGCTTTGGGGCAGCAGTGTGTGGGCAGCCTGAGGTGCTCTTGCTCTCTAGTTGGCTGGACTGGTGTTTTATGGGGTTTATTCCTGTGCTGGATTAGGCCCCTCAAGTCCTTGTAGCACTAGCCCAGCTTTCCCCACTCATGCAGAGATCTTCAGGGTTGTGTCCTCATAAGTGGGGAAAATCTGCCAGGAATCTGTAGCACCCCCATGCCTTCATGCTGGGAACCGCTTACCTGGACCTGTCCCTGGGATCTCCAGAGACCTATCTGGGTGAGCGGGGAAAGCCAGGCAGGTGTTCTCAGGGCTTGGGAGCCCGATCCTGCTTGAGAATTTCTGGGGTGCACAGTCCAGGGCCCCCTGGAAGAACACATCACCCCTTGTCCTGCAATATCAAGGGGTGTCCTGTCCTGTGTTTTACCCAATGAAGCAGATCAGTTGCACCGTGGACACATTGTGGCACAGCTAATCCACTTAATTTGGCAAAGTTTATTTCTAGCCTCGGTACTTCACAGGAACTTAAAGTAAGGTGTAATGGGGGTGTACATCTGTAGGAATAAAAGTTCTGTTCCAGAACTTTTGTTTTTAACTCTAGTCTACTCCTTATCTAGTATAGCCAATACACTATTCAGTAGAAGCTACTTTAATACCATGTATCAAAACAGCAAAGTCTAGTTACCCAGGGGGGTTCAAACAAAGATGGAACAAAAATACTTGGATTCTGTAGGCAGACAAAGTTTTATTTAGTTAGATGTGACATTTTTTAGTAGACTAAGTGAATAGTTGGCAAAATTGTTCTTTGCAGATTTTCAGACACAAACACCCTTCTTCAGGCAGAGGGAGTCTGCTGGCCTGTTCTCTAAAGTCGGCATAGAAGCTTACGCCAGTATGCAAAATGCAGGTCTGTGAAAATGCAAATGCATAGCAGGGAACCACCTTTGATCTGAAAACACTATGGAAATTTTTATGCCATACTACATGCCTTTGAAGTATTGTTTCCCACTTCCTAAATATGGAAAGAAAAATTCTGTCACGTGTGGGACAGCCAGGAACAGAACTCAGGCCTTGATTCCCAGCTCTATGCTTCATCCATCAGCTCTTCCA